GGGGCGGGGGCGAAGAGAGTCTGGGCCCGGTGGCTTCTCCTTTTCCCGAGAGCTCTCCTGCCGCTCTTTTGGGAAGGGTGACGATAATAAAGACGATTCCAGGCTTTTTTCCCCTTTAAGGCAGTGAGCAACGATGCTGTTCGTGCTCTGTGTTGAGGTTGTTGGATGGGCTGAAGAAGTGCCTCCCTGTGGCATATAAATAGCTTTTCTCAACTCCAGTCATGTTGTCCAGGCAGCACTTCGTGGCGGTATTGGGCAGCGATGATTTAGTTGCTTTTTCCAGTCTCGGTGATCAGTAACAGTTAGCGTTAATATTTAGATGACTTTTCCCTGTGTAAAATCAGCTTTTCCATCTATAAATTTATATAACATTAAACTTCCTGTTTTGAAGGAGTGATTTCATGGATTTTTTGGTTAGATGTTTATTTCGGATAACTACGTGTATTTTTTAGTTCCTGGTTAGCACATCATTTTCAGATCCTGAAAAAAAGCTCAAAAATTTCCTCTGCTGTTCTTGTGGATATGGGAAATGTCTCTTACTTCTCTTGCAAATTTAAATTGTGAGTTTCCCAAAGTAAATCCAGCTCCTTGACTCAGGTTTTCGAATGCTGAAACAGAAACAGGCTGGAAACCTGTAACTGAGCAAGATTGCGAGGCTAATTGGAGGCCTTAATTGGAAAAGCTCTCCGAGTATCACAGCTGCTCAGAAAGAGCTCAGAGGATTTTTGCTGTCTTCTGAATTTAACCCAGGCTACATGATTTCTGCCTTGGCATGTGTCTGCCTGGAGCGGAAATCATAAATTATTCATTTAGTCCCGATTGGGAACATTTCTTTTTAAGAGACATGTGATACTTTAGTAAGTCAGACAAATTTTAGTTCAAACACTGACATGCAGTGTTTATTGCAAATATTTATAAGGTGGTCACAGTAATGCTGCTTTTGTTTATGTATTGCAATTCTGTTCACATAAAAACATAAAAACAATTTATGTTTTTAATAAAAAACCCCATAATTATAACATTTAAACAAACAGCATCTTTTGTAAAGATCAGATAAGGGCTGTATAGGACTATAGAGCACACATGTGCTCCAAGTAGCTGTGTTTAATAGGAAAAACACAGCAAAGTGAGTGAAATGAAGTGCCAGATGATTTCATATCCGAAAGATGGACAGGCATGCATAATAGCAGCACTGATGTGGATATTCATGTTGCTTACAAGCTACAGTAAAAATACTGTCTCACAAATAGACTTCAAGGGTTTGTTTAAAGTAAAAGATTTATGCCTTGCTAAAATCTGTGTGAATGCAGTTAAGTGCCAAGACCTAGGCAAGAGTCTGAGCACTTCTTTGTGTTACTGTACAATATTCTCTATGTGTAAGGTTTCTGCCACCTGTTTGTTATTAAAACACAGTAGGAATGAGTTCATTTTTAAGCATCGTGCTGGTGGTGGACTTCTTAAACAAATTGATTCAACTCCAAGGTAGCAGTGGCCCCAGGTTCCTGCAATGCGATGGCAGAAACAGGAGGAAATTCATCAATAGAAAAACCTTCCTAATTTTTTTTAGTGAGTGAGGTTTGCTGAGTTTTACTGTGCATGTCTGTATTAGTGAAATAATGTGTAGGCATGTATGGGAATCACAACAGTGGTAGGTGATGCTGCTGTTCTGCGGCCTTGAGCTCTTTCCAAACCTGCTGTTTATGCATACATGAATGCTGTATGCTGATTTAGATTTTTGCCAATTATTAATCCTATAAATTAGTCCTGTATTTTGTTACTCCTTTGGGATTTACTGGCTATGCTCTCATGTTTTCTCTGGCACTGCAACTCAATACTTGTGAGAATGTTGTGCCTCCAGAAGAATCTATGGGATGTATGCAATTAAGAGTTCATTGTGGAGTGGTTTTTCCACCCCTCTTATTATGTGTGATTAGATTACATAGTCCTGTTCTAAACCCTAAAATCTCAGTAATTAAATTTCAGACTTAGCAGTCACTGAACATAACATAAAATCTTTCGTAAGATCCATCTCACCTGACAATGGCCAAAATGAAGCCCTAGGGAATAGCATCCGGAAGAAGGGTGCAGTGAACCTTGCCCAGAGTACTCTCCCAGACCCTGACAGCCGTCCTAGGAACAACCTGAACTAATGATGGGGTATTGGGATTTTTTGTGTTTGTGTTTGTCCAGTTGCTTTTGTAACCCATCTGAGCTGCATAAGGTACAAAAACAGTCTCCTGTGAGTCCCAATTACTTGTTATTCTAGTAACAAGCTTACATACAGAAGCGTGTCTTTCTTCCTTAACTACAGACTACTTACACTCTTCCTGTTAATTACTCTTCTAGATTTTTCTCTATTAATTTATATTTTCGTACTACACAGAGGTTGTCCTGTGGATTAAAAGGAAATAAGACCAAAACCTTATTCTGGAGTGTAAAAGCCAGTTTTGATGGATGTGCTTACATTGTAACTATGCAACCTTCTGCAGCAAATGTGACTAATGTGCTTTTTTTTTTCCACTGCTCCTTTAAGCAAAGCAAATCGGCTGCGAGATTGAAGGAGGACATGAAAAAGATCGCCGCGCTTCCACTGAACAAGCAAAGGGATACGACCTGTCCAAAGGTGTTTGGTGTGAGTCTTCTGGAGCTCCAGCAGCAGGGACTGAGCAAGAACGGCATCCCCATAGTCGTGTGGAATATAGTCGAGTACCTCACGCAGCATGGTGAGCTTCATGGAGTCACTTTTGCGTAGCACTCTCTCTGTAAGACTCTTCAAAGGGAGGGATCCATTTTTTTTTTGTCGTACAGGGGATGAATAAGGTTGTAGCACTAACTACATGCAAAGGATATTGCTTCTTTTTCTTTCTGCCTTGATGCTGAACTTTTTAATAGGATGTTTATAAAGGTAAACTACAGTGTTATGAAGCAGCACACTCTCATAAATAACCTGTTCAGTTCATAAATGGAATGTATTTAATTTGTGAAGGTTTGTGTCACTTTCCAGTTGCAAAACATTTATTATTAATGCTTTCTGACAGTGAGAAGACATAAATATCTATCTAGAGATACTCACATGCACACACCCACCCCATCAGACTATGTTACTGAATAGCAATACATGTACTTACAGGCTTTCAGATAGATTCCAGTTACTGTTAATCCCCTCAGAGAAGTAGGTGTCCAGTTCTTAGCTTCTCTTTCATTCATTTAATAGGACTTTAGTTGCTGTTGTTGAATACACCTCTTTGCAGAAATATAGAGCACCATCGGTGCACAGATGTGTCCTGTGGCTTCTGTGGCAGTTCAGCAATGGAAAAGATTTTGTGGAGGTAATTTCATCTTCTAAGAAGCTGCATCTGTTTTTACACTAAGGTTGTTATTTTAGCTACTCAGTAATGATAATCCAAATGCAGAGCCTTAGATTCCATGTCTCCGTCTTGATAGACCCTTAAAAGCCAATAGATGTGAACATGGCTTGAAAGTTAGCTTGGATTAAGGTACGGTGCAAATTTAAAACGCAATCCTACCTGTACACAGCAGCATCTTCCTTGATCTGCTTCGACTTGCCTTAAAGTGATCTGCTAGAACTCTGAAAGAGCAAGGAGGGAAAAAGTTTCTGCGTCATTTAGGTTTAATCAAAACCAGAAGCGTACAAACACTCTTGACTGCAAGTTGTGGGCTGTGCTCTGTGTTCCATAAAAAGATCTGAATCCCACACAACCATTTCCCAAATACGAACTAGAGCCAAGTCCTCTACTCTGCAGCAAGATTAGCTAAAGTGATTATCCAGCCCCAATAAGGATGTAATTCATTCTTTTTCTCAAAAAAGCAAGCAAGATCTCAGAGATGCCGTCTTACGTGAGAAGTTCTTGAAATGGGTTTCCTGTGCCTGCCTAATGTTCATTTTGTGAATTAATGGTGAAGTTAACCTTGAAGGCATTTTTAACAGAAGTCCAGGTATGAATTTGAACTATTTGAGGGCAGAGCATTCCCTGAATCATGGTTATTGTTTGTTCAGTATTGTCTTACAACTCCTGTTCTGCAGAGATGCTGTAATGGACATTGTAGGGCTTTTTAAAGCCAGACCATTTCAGAGTCTCTTCTAGCTCATGAGGAACTGACTACCATTTGTAAAAGTTGAGCTGGCTGTTGGGCATCTACATCCTCAAAGTAAGTTTGTAATAAGCTGCCTATTTTCAAATTTATAGGTGAAGCCAAGTTTTCCTGTGCTGAAATTAGTAGTATCTGTGTACTGTTACTGGTATGTTCTAGCCTCTCCTTGTATCCATAAATGACTGAGGAAGAGCAAAGGAAGTTTTTTCTACATGAGAACCGTGTCCTTTGCTTGTTGCTGCAGAAATGAGGATCACTATTTGAGATGTGGTGTTTGCTGCTGTCCCCAAGATGGCAGTGCAGCATGCCACATAAGACCACGTTTTGTTGTGAATACCGGATCTGTAAGCAGTATCTTCTGGTGGTTAAGTAAAATGCTTGAGTGTTAGTCCATTTTTTTTCCTTACCAGATCAGTTTGTCTTCTGTTCCAATAAAAGGAATTATTTCTCCCTACAAGCTCTGCTGCATCAGTATTGATTTCTTGGACTGGAAGTGTTCTCTCAGGCTGCTGTTGAGTGGTGTCTGCTTTGAACTGATGAAAACTACATATTTTCATCCTTTCAGTGTTATGCTTCTGGAAAAGAATAAGCAGGTCTGTAGACACAGTATTAGAAAAGGCAGAATTTTTGTGGTGAAAATGAATTTACTGAGTTCACCTTTAGGCACTTCACTGAAGGTTTTTAATCTTAGCATATGCCTAGAAAGAGGCGTTTGATACAGTACCATTCACGTGTCTTCCTCCATGGAAACTTCTTTCGTTCTGCATCTCCTTCACTGGATGTGGGGTGTCTGGCCTGAAGGGATCAATACCTTGTATTTTTTGCTGTGAAATACTTTGGGGTTGGTGCTGTCCAAAATACACATTTGCTCAGTGAGATTTTCTGCTGTTGTAAAGTTGTGGTGCTCGTTATGGAGTTACTGCTGCAATCAGCACATATTCAGATGTTTTTACCTTGTGATGGTCACAGGCAAGAAGCTGTTACCATAAAATGTAAAGCTGGAAGTAGTCCTGTGAGTGAATTTCGCAGAGTCCCACTCAAGGTAGTGGACTGCTTGCACAAGTGAAACAACAGAACTGTTTTGTAGAATCTGGATCCTTTTCAGTTGAAATACACCAATGCATAATGCTGCTGTTTCAGTTGATTTCTGCATGGTGTGAGGTTACAGCAATGCCACTGAGGTTTGTGGGTTCTCAAAGAGTATCCCAGACTTCAAGATCTGGTCACTAGAATTTGGTATTTGTCATAATTCAACTACTTGACTCTGATCTCTGAGGGGGAAATAGTATTTTTAAACTATGTTGTATTAATTGCCCTCCACTGCATTCCTACAAGTGTACTATTTACACAAAAATACCTGTTTCATCATGGATGTCTTACTTCAGCTCAGTCTCGTATGCAATATATAATTACAGGTATGACGCAGGAAGGCCTCTTCAGGGTGAACGGCAGCATGAAAATGGTGGAACAGTTGCGTCTGCAGTACGAGCGTGGAGAAGAGGTGGAACTTGTTAAAGATGGGGATGTGTACTCAGCAGCCAGTCTGTTGAAATTGTTTTTGAGAGAGTTGCCAGATGGGATTATCACCTCTGCCTTACATCCCAGGTTCATTCAGCTTTACCAGGGTAAGTGAGAGGTAGAATCTCCATCCTTCAAGGCACTTTCTTTCTGGATAATTGATTATGCAGTGACCATAACCAATGCTTTCTGTTTCTTAGTTTACCTACACTTTAGCTCTTACCTGCTCCCAGAGTGTTCACAGATGTGCAGTTCTGTTGCAAGAGATAAAAAACTGTTTGTGTTTGGTAAAGCCTGGACTATTTATGGCTTTCTAATCCAGTTATATCTGCTGAAGGTAAATGGAAATGATCAACTGGTTTCTGTGAGCAAGCTTGTAAACAGTAGCCGCAGTCTCTTTAGGACACCGTGATGTTGTGAGGGAATAGGTGGTGGCTGGCCCTGTTCCTTCACTGTGTGGGTCAGCGGCAGTTCTTTTGCTGCAGGCAGTCGATACCTGTTCTTGCTGTCTTCCTAAGAAGCTGTGAAGCAAATGGATAAATGTTGCTCAAAATGTGCTCTTTATAGTAGAGCAGGTAAATGTGATGCACGATGCAGAGGAGGAACATGTACTCTGACAGTGGAAGACGGTGCAAAATTCCCACACTCTTGTCCTGAGGTCTCTCTTTGGCTTTTCTTTCCTGCAGTGGAGATGAAGTTTAGCTATTGCCTGGAGGAGGAAGAACATGACCATGTCTTTTCTTTCTTTCTTTCCTGTCTGGGGATGTACAGACTGTTGAGGGTGCACTAGAGCTCTGTGTCTTCACTTGAGTGCAGGCATTTCAGCTGTAACCAGGTTGTAAGTGGGCTGTATAAAATACCTCCCTCGTTTAGTAAAGTTGTCTGGGGCCCAAGGATAGGGGTCAGGAAGTGTTCTGTAGGAAGGTGCTGTTGCTTGAGAAAGTCCCTTTTTTCAGGTCATAGATGTGCTTTAGGGCCTTTTAGATTTCACCAAGTCTGACTCATGAGCTGTATTTAATTATGTTCTTTCTCATAAATCACCATTTAAGTGGAAATTTTGTTAAAGTCACACCTTCCCTGTTCTACATCCCTGTCCCCACAAAGGTCATATTGGCGTCTTGCACCAGGAACTACCGATGTACTTTGTGAACAGTGCTGTTTGGAAAGTTTCATTCATTCATTCCTACAGGAAACGCAAAATCCCCCCAGTACTTTCTATGGAAATGAGATAGATATCCTTACTTAGCAGGTTTGCACACCAAACTTTCTTATTTCAAAAAAAAAGTTAATGGTGTAACTTATGAACCCAGTCTGCAAAAGTCAGTCCAACTGTGACGTGTCTTCATAGCTAAGTTTGCCCGTATTGCACAATAAGCTCCAGTTACAGTCCCATTACAACTTTGATTAGGGAGAAAAAAATCTTATCTGAAAAATGCCAGACTGGCTGCTATGGCAGGGGAAGGCTCGTGTAAAGTTTGATGAAAACTGGGGACTTTTTCATGCCCTAGGAAGTACAGCATAAATGAGTTGCTATGAAAGGCACTGACAGCTTTCATTGGGTTCAGATTAGTTTAAGTGGTAGATGGGCCTTTGTTTACAGTTAAATGATCAACCAGCTGTGCAGGATTGGAGGGGTTATCTGTTCACTTATCAAGTATGTGCAAGGGTATTTGTTGCAAAACGATACCAAGAGGGTGAGTGCATGGGTGTTCTTTTTGTAAACTGTGAGGAAAGTAGGTCAAGCTGTTTCTAAGCCAACAGGTTATTAAGAAATAACTTTGAATCTGGAGCCCCTTCTCTGCATGTCTACAGTGAAGGCAGTTACAAGCTCTGTTACAACCTCTGTGTTTCCTCCTGTTGAAGCTTTGCATGAAAAATGTTTTTTTGGGATTATGTTGGAATTCCTATGGAATATTTTCAGGGATTTGTGTCAGCATTTTTTTAAGCCAGCTGAGATCCTGGCTTGAGAATAACACACAATTACTTCACTTCCTATAAAAATTGCTAGGTAGTGATTCCTCTAGTTAAAAAATAGCTGGACTGAAAATTACAGATTTTACCTGTAGCTGTAACTGTTTTTAATTCCAGGTATAATCTTTGTTCCCAAACCAAGGACTAAATAATCTGCCCTTTCATGAAAAAGAGAGAACCTGACCCACTGGTAGTCGAGGAAGTCGACGCAGCTGGTTTGGCACGCTGTCTGCAGCCTGTGCAATGTCGTGTGAAACAGCTCTGCACGCTGCCCCCAAATCCTGACGCGTTGCTGTTTATATAAATATTCAGCGTAATGCCAGGACTATTCCGTTCCAGAAAACATCACGTAGTGTATCCTAAAGGCTGCTTGGTGTGTCCTGACGTTGTTCTTTCCCTGCCCTTGGAGAAGGACAGTGGGAGCTGAGAAAGGCCTCCTCTGTATATGATGTTGATTGGTAATGTGTGTAGCAAGTGCAGGCCAGGGACACGCTGACAGTGATCTTTGCATTAGATGGGCTCCTCCGAGTGCCTGACAAATATGAAGGCTGCTCCTTCCTTGAGAAAATTCCTTTTTTTACTGTTCATAGCTGTGCTTGCTTTTGTTTGTTTTTTTTTTAGATTAGGGAGTCCTGGGGTAAAAAATGTCCATCAAAATCTCTTTTGTGATTGAGGCTTCATTACACAGCAGAGCTCAAAACGTGCTGTGCTTACAGAGCGGTGAAAGTTTCTTTTGGAAGCCTCAGCTGGGAGAAATCAGCAGCTCCCATAGAGCAATCCCTGCTTGAGCTTGTTTGTTCCTTCTGGCTTTTCATTCCTTATCTTTTATATCGTGGTCACTGACTCTTGAGACATTTGTACATTCTGGGAACTGTATGCACAGTTCTTGCACCCTTTCACAGGTCACTTGCTTTCAGCAAGACAGGTTGCTACTGTACTTGTCCTGTTTAGCATACAGAAAGCGTTTCCCCCATGTGAATTTCTTTTTTGTCATCGTTGTATTCCCTCCTCTAGTGGGGGTACAGTGAAACGTGGGCTTCTGTCTTCCTCTGGTACTCAGTCTAATTTAGTTGAGTGCTATTAGATCACTCTGTCTTCTTGACATTGCTCCATCCTAGAGAATTTATATTTTTCAGTGGGCAGCAGCAAGGTGTGAATTTTCTATCTCATGTACCTCCTCCTGCTCACAATCTGCCACAAGTGGCAAGGTTTTGTCTGGTGCCCTTATGGTTTCAGGGAAGTTGTGGACGGGAAGGAGCAGCTGAACAGCTCAGATTAGGGAACACAGTAGCCAGCAGCTGTTTGAGTTACATGAACAAAAATATAGCTTGTGTTGGGGGATTTCGAAGGTCACATTTGAACCTGAGCACCTGAACACCAGTGAGTGTTCAGGTATGTGAATATTATTCAGATATTCAGAACAAATGAGAGTGAAAGTGAACAGATGAGAGCTGACCCTTTAACCACGGTAACTGCAGCAGTGCAGTGAATCAGATTCACTGGATGTCTGTGGCTTTCCGGACCCCTGTGGCATGATTTTAACATTTTCTTTTGGCTTTTATTGTCATTTTGGTCTTGTCAGGACTAGTTCCTAACTAGAGAAATAACTCCTGTATTCCACATGCAGATGTCTGTTATGCAGTAAAAACTCTTGGAACTGGATTTCTTATGCAGACGATGACACTCAGCAGAGCTGCTAAAGAAGTGAGAGTGCTCTGCTCTCAGTATGTTGGAGTGAAGCATAAATACGGCTCTGGCTCTGCAAGGTGACGTAAAGATGCAGAGCGAGGAGTCACAAGTTGGATTGTGATGACAACCTTCTTACGATGAGAACTTTCAGCATTTTTGCTACTGATGGCAAAAAGGTGTGATTTTAATTTTTCTATGGAGCAGGATCATGTCTGAAGCAGATTGCTTTTTGGCAGAGAGAGACCAGAGTCCCACTTCCCATGGACTGTGGAGGTGGAGAGAAATGCTTTGATTCCTCCTGCAGCCCTGTGGGCGCATTGGCACCGCAATGTACAACCTGCTGCCTGTGTGCTGGGGATTAACTTCCTGGGGCACGTTGACAGCTACAGACAGATGCAAGCTTTTCTGTCTGCTCTTCAAGATGGTAGTATGCAAGGCAGCTGGAAGCTATGCAGACCTGGTAGCATGACACTGAGCCTTCAACTCTTCCTCGCCTCACAGCAGAGATAACTAGCAAGGGCATGGGACTGTGCTGATCCAGTTTCAGTGCTTCCAGGCTGGAGTTGTTTGGGGTCAGGCCATGCGAGACACAAGCAGAGCCATTACACACACCTGTCTGCAGGCATCTGTACCTTTAGGGATGTTCAGGCAGCGTGCTCTGCAGGGGGAAGGAGTAGCAGGAAGAGGGATGGATTGGGAAATCAGATCATGTCTGTGGCCTGTCACAGAAACTCAGTATGTTCAGAAATAGGATGAAACATTGGAAAATATGTCCCTCTTGTTGTGATCTGTGGGTGTATACTGAAATTAAATAAGACTGAAAACACCCTTGCAAATGTGTCTGTGCCTCCTACACTGTTGAGGCTCCTGTTCCTAGTTAATTAACATTTTTAGAGAGACTGTCTGTTCTTTTCAGTTGTCTCCTTGACTTGTCCCTCAGTAGCGAGTCCCTCCTCAGTTGTAAGGTGCCACACTGCCCTTGTTGGCTTCCTTGGCCCTCTGCCTGCATTACGCTGTTTTCTATGTCCTCCAGCTGCTGAGCCTAGATGTGGCCTGAGGCTGCAGGTTTCCTTCCCTCCCTCAGTCCAGAAACCGCCACCTCACCCCTGGTTTCAAGCCCTTCCTGGCTGCTCACGTAGCTAGGCTTCTGTTGCAGACCTCTGCTGGGGTGCTGTCTGCTTCATGTGGCTTTTGGCAGGCTCCCAAAATTAAAAAGTGAATGCCTTCGACTCTGCCTTGAGACCACCTTCCTCTTAGCCTTCATCTTTTATTCCTTTCTCTGCTGTATTGGGCAAAATTTTCAAAAGAGCTTCATGTGCTGTGCTTGAAAATCACGAGTGTGTTGGTAGTCGGGTATCTGGAAATATGAGGTGAATGTAGGTTCCTGAATTGGCTTTGAAAGTCTGGTACTTCGTTGTTTCCTTTACTGACAAGCTCTTTTGTCTCATCTCAGGATGCTGCGGAGACTGAAGCCTATGCTGAGCTTCATGCCATGCTTAGCTTTGATCTGAGTAAGAAATACTGCACTTGGTAGTCTTGACTTCCGCGGGACAGCTTGTACCTCTCAAAATGAGACATGTACTTAAGCTCAGGGTTCTGGTACACTTGATGCTTGTCTGCGTGGCAGCATAAACAGCTCTGATGCTCTAATCTTTCTCTGATGGTCAGTACCAGCTGAGTAAACCTTAGTGATTGACTCTGAAGCAAATTGAAAAATTGTCTAGCAGGTGGACAAAAGGAGGAGAGATGCTCCAAGCAGTGGGTTTTTGTGACTCGAGACTATTTTTGCTCTCTAATAAGTTGAATAGCTGTTTCATTTGAAGTAATATGGTCACAGGTAGCAGAGATACACTTGTCCTGAAAAACCTGCAAAGTGTGGGGAATACCGTACTATCTAAATTCACCACAAACTGGAGTAGCATTTTTTAAAAATAAAGCTGAAATCCATGAAATAAGTGCCAGCAGCAGGAGAATTAACAAATCAGTTGTGATTTTTGAGTTGTATTGGGAGGAAGGCTTGAGTCCCTTCCCTTGATTTTTCACTGGAAGAGAGGAAAGCCATATTTTTTCTCCCATTTTACAGGGACAAGGAATTTCATAGCTCAGTAAATGGGGTTTGCAGCCTCATGTTGTTCGGTGTCCTTCAGTGAGGGGAATTTCTCAAGATCTTGTGATCTGGTATCTGTCTCTGTTCTTGAACGTACAGAAGCGAACAAAGGTTTGGCTGTGCCCAGCGATAAGCATCAGTGATGTTGATCCGCACCACATAATATGTCGTGGTTAACGAACTGGGACATCCTGCTCACCAAATACAACTGATGCCACCAGGCCAACAGCTTTGTTTGTTGCCAGAGTGCAGACCTGCGTTCAGAATGGTGTGTGGTGGTTATTAGCATCTTTCTAGTTTGGAAGGGATGGAAAATCCTTCAGTAAACGGCAAAGCACCTGTCAATCTGAAGCCCCAGTGGGAGGCTCAGAGGCAATTAGTTCTCAAGGGCTTTCTCTAATTAGGTGGTGGGGTGATGGTGGTGGAAGAGGTGCATTTTCTTCTGAGAGATGGCTTTGGCTTTCCTTACAACTGCAAACAATTTATAGTAGAAAACACGACGTGCTGGTTGTTTTGTTATCTGAAGAGAAGCATGTTAGGAGGTGAATTTTAATGTTCTGGCTGTGGGGAAATCAGTTGTGTTTTGTTTTTCTTTAAGCTTCATGAGGAGATAATTAGTAATCGAGTCAGAGACTGTCCAGTCCACTTTGATCAGTGCAAATCCAAATCCAATTAAAGTCCTTATTGTTATTCCATTTAACACAGCCTTCAGAAGCATCCTGAAATTTTGCTGCAGAAATAAAAATAATAAATCAGATTTCTTACTCTTACCAAGCTGATTCATAGTAGCAATATAATTACTGTTTTTATCCTGCATAGCTCTAAAAAAATTTGGAATAAATAGTTGCAGTAAATAAGCAAGTAAGATTTTTGCTCATCTGCTTCATGCATATTTGATATTTGATTTTTCTGCCAGAGCTTCCTGCAGCTTCCTTTTTATCTGTAGAAGAAAAGGATATAATGAGTCAATTGAAATGTTCGGACCTGTAATTTGACTGGCATTTTAAACTTTTTGGCCTGCTGTCATGAAAGAATTCATATTAAGTCTGTGATACCAAAACAGATACATAAAAATGAGTTCTCCATGTGTATGAAACTGAAGGACTTCTCTCACTGTGTACTGTATTATGCATGTCCTGTAAGGCAGGAAACCTGAGCTTGGAAGCAGATGAAATCTTGCAAGTTCAACTGTATGAAGTGCCAAGTACTTACATACAAAAATGATTTGTTTTCAAACTATATGCAGGATAAATCCCGTGTATTAGCCACAAAAATGTCTGATTGTAAAAACAGAAATCATACTGTGACTTAAATGGTTGAGTTCTCAGGAGTCACTTTCGGATGTTTTTGTACAGACTGCTAATTTACCACTGTTCAAAGCACTCTACCCCTGGAATACCGTGCAATCCAGCCCTGGAATATTTCTGGGAAAGGAAAAGTAAAAACAAAGATGAAACTTCTGAATTGCTTATACGTACCTTACACTGTGTTAAAAGCTTTTCCCTTTTCCTCCCTCCCAAAAATGTTGGGGAAATGTAAAATGTTCCTTGTTCCTGCAACACAAGGCATTGAATTTTTCCTGACAGTCTTCTGTATCTCTGAACAGAAATAAGAATAAATTTTAGATCCCACTGGTTGCTCACTCATGTAAGTAAATCAGCAGCAATGTAGAAAATCATGGGTTTTCTCTTGTTTTTCCTAGACACTAGAAATGACATGCAGAAGGAAAGTAACTTGAAAGAGCTCCTTCAGGAACTGCCTGATGCTCACTACTGCCTGCTGAAGTATCTGTGCCAGTTCCTGATAAAAGTTGCTGAGCATCATGTGGAGAACAGGATGAACCTTTGCAATCTCGCCACTGTATTTGGACCAAACTGCTTTCAGTAAGTTGGGGTTTTCACTTTTCCCCCTGTGTTGATGGAGGGTGTAATGGAGCAGATGGCCAGAAATGCAGCTCAGAACCCTGATTTATCAGGGTCATCAAACAGAGGCAATGACTGGGGCTCTGTGATAAATTTTAGGGCTAAAACTATTGCTTGAGTTGAATGGGAGTTGCTGTCCCATCTCTTCCTGTTTTGCTGAATGGTCAGTTTTCTATTGCCACATCGACAGCAGAGCAGGAGCATAGCAATGAAAGGCCTTCAGACTGCAAGTGCAAGGAGACTTTTGCTCATATAGCTTTCTTCCTTTGGCACCAGACCATATGGATGTTTCTCTGCAGGAGGCTTTGAGAAAGGATACCTGGGGAAAAGGATTTCTATGCAGCACCCAGGTGCTGTATATTTTCTAGAGATAGATACTGCGTACTCTTTACAGATTTGGCCTTGTGATCTGGTGTCTGTCCTCCAGATGCTGATGATTCTGGGTTCTTTATACTTATAGTGTATTTAGAAACTGGTCTGGAGGTTATGGGGCTCCACTGGCCTTTTGAAAGTTCTTACTGGGCTCACTGGTTTTACCAGTTTCTTTCACTGGGCCAGTTCCTTGGTGCTTGTGGTGAAGACAACATGTGCCAAATGTCACATTTGTATTGATCCTTTCAAAATTTCACTCTGGCATAATACTGAGTTGCCTAATGAGACTTAGATTAGATTAATTGCCTAATGAGACTGTCTCTCTAGGCTTCCTCTGTAGCCAGTGGAAAGAAGTAGATTTCTTTAAAGAGAGAAAACAGAAATTAGGTTCCTTGTAACGTACTGAGCCAGTTCCACATTCCTGGGCTAGATGCTGCCTGCTCTTTTTAAAGGAGCACGTCTTTTTCCACTGATTAGGGAAAGAACACACAGAGATGAGACACTTAAACCAAAGCTTGTCCTTGCGACTACACTGCTGCCTCATCTTAAGAAGTTGCTTATGGATAATGAAGATGAATATGTCAGGATTAAAGCATTCATGGTTTGTCCAAAAGATAAAGTGTATTTTGAAAACAATTGCCTTCCCCTCCAAAAGAAAGAAAACTCCAGAGGCAGTGGTATGTGCAGGAACACATAAATATGAGAGTTAGTGAAAGCACAGTACTGCAAATTTCTGACAAGAAAAAGCAAAACTATTTTTAAAGATGACATTTGTATGGGCAGTTTGGGAATTTCTGTCTAAATGTATCAGTGGAGTTAAGAACAAACAAAGTAAATTGTAAGAATGTGAGTCCAATGGCTAAGTCTCTATGACTCAAACTCCCAAGTGGCTATTAGAAGAATTTTTAGTTTACTCATCACTTTCTTCATGAAAGTTAAAAAATTAGCTCTGCATACTTTTTGGTGTAGAACTGAGAGTTGCAGTTTGGAATTGTAATTGGTATTCCTAAGATTAAACCAAGCATGCTTCTTAAAAGCTGCATAGTTGTTGCCTCAACTGATCTCTGCTCCTAAGATGTCATAGAAAAGTCATAACAGGTTTTTTTAATGTGTAAAGCCTGTGTGTAAGAGGGGCAGAATTGCATCTTTCCATTGCAGAAGGCTGAGAAAGGCAGAGTTCACTGGAGAGGGAAACACAGGGGCTCTTGTGGCTGCATGTGAACGCAGCCAGCCCTGCAGTTGTGACACACGTTGAAATAAATGCTCGTGTAGCAAAAAAGGCAATGAAAGCAAGGCTTGACACTTAACAAATTGCTAGTGGGTTTTTTAGAAGACCCAAATATCTCAGAATTATGGATGTGGGTTTTTATTTAAACCCAGTGTCACCATCTGGTAATTCAGTTAGGTGTTTCATCAGATCTTGATCTTTTCAAGGTAGTTCAGGATTGTGGTCCAGACACAAAGATTTTGAGCAGCAGTTGAAATACCCTCTTCTCTTGTGTTAATGGATGCAGTCCGAAATTGCTGGAACTGTGACCATCTGTGTCTAAATGGTTTGATAGGAGGTGGGAAGAACTTGCAGCACTGAACTCGGCATTGGACTTAGACATTTCATTGGCCCAGCAGTCAGAGAGTGACCCTCAGAGAGCAATTCAGATCTCTGGAGTAGGGCTGCCTGAAGCCTGCTTGGCATGGGCTGTCTTACTGCTGGCTACAGACAGCCCCTAGAGAGGCTGCAGATATTAAATATCAGCAGGTGGCTGAAGCAAACGCTCGTCTCGCTTGGCGTTGTTTGTTCAGAGCAGTGTATGGGCTGTTTCTCTGGGACAAGGAAAGAAGGCTTAGCATCCAGCTTGTCAGCAATTGCTGAAGCAGGAAGATCCGAGATGTTTCTGTCAGAAATTCACACTCGCGTCTAAAATCGGCGTCAGAGTCTGTGTAGTTAACACACAGTGTCAGAGAAGATAAAGACCATCTGCTGATAGTGAAGGATTGCTTTCTGCAAGGTATTTTTAGCGACATTTTAGCTATTTAAACATATTATCTTCTACTCCATAACTGAAGCTGTTTAACAATTGAATAAATCTCTGCTGGGCCACTTTCCAGACATTTAGACTTCATTTTAATTCTCTTCATCTCATTCTATTTTTCTATGTCACGTTCTCTGTAATTTATCTCAGCTCTTAAACTTGCAACCCTTATTACTTTTATTTTATCCACTGCTTCCCCTGCTTCCTTACTTGCTGTTTGACCTGCTGCACTGGTGCTTTTTTAATGAAAGGTTATCTTGTGCTTTCTGTGTTTCTAGTGAATAAAAGAAGGGAGAAAAAGGCTATCTGCATTCCTTGTAATGAAGTGTCATGTAAGACATCGGAAAATATAAAGGGCAAGGTCAAACAGCTCAAAAAAGGAAAACATGATGGTTTGAGATTTAGTATGCTGTTTTCTTCCAGCTTGGTTTGTTCAGATTTATAGTGATGGAAGGCAAAGGTCAAGTATACAGAGAAACACAGCCCTTCAGGAACAAGGTATTGGAACAAAAATAGCTGTTTTTTCTGTCACTGAGCTAATCTGTGTGGAGTATTAACACTTGCAGCCTAGTTACTCTTGGAAGTTATTGTCCATTGACCTGAATTTCAGCTCCTGGAGAGCCATACCATTAGTTGTGGCCTCCTGTGTGTCTTTGCTCGGCTCTTACAGCTTGTGCTGAGGAGGAAGGAGAGGGCCAGCTGGGTTTTCTCTCCTCCTCTCTGCTCTCTTGGAGCTGGGTACCAGAGAGGCTGCTGAACGCATCCTGTCCTTTGGGTGGGGTGGTAAGAGATGCAAGGCTGATCAGTTACAGAGTGGGCAGAGGAGTCAGCTGCACCCTGTTTTGCAGCACTCTCTCAGTAATCCATGTGTGTGGCCTCCATCATTCAAGCCCTCACTAACCTGACTTGTTTCATTCCAGCAGAGATTACGCATATTGTGAGGGACTGCTGCATCCCCCCCAAAAGTGGCTGGCAAACGCAGGTATCCAGTTAAAATGCTACAGTTAGATGTGCTTATTTCTGCATGATGACTGTGTAACAGAAGTTACCTGAAGGCTTGTACAAGAAAGCATTAGGCACGGAGAAAAAGTAGATTGTCTTTAGGTATGGAGAAAATGTAGATCATCTGTAGGGTGCCTGTAGATATTTCAGAATTTCGGAAAGACTTCCAATGTCTTGCTGAATTTGGTCCAAACTGGTGAGACGTGAGTCTGTAAATGATACAGAGCATGTAAATGACAGACACACACTGAGATGAGCTCCTGCCTCAACTCAGTGTTGCTGTATCTCCAGCTACCTGCGAGGCTCTGATCATGCAGCAGCATCTGCAGACAGGAATATGTGCCTGTTTTCAGCTGTACCAGTTTGTGGTCCAGTGTGTTAAGATAAATCACTTTGATCAGCTGAAGTACAGGACAAAGTTGTGGCCATATTACAGATACAGTAGCGTCTGTCTAGAGGGACAGAGCAGATTGCCTGAAATTGTAACATGTTAAGATTACTGCAGCTCTGCTCTTTAAACCTTCAGTCATGCTTGTTGAGGGGCTCACAGACATCTGAAGTACTAATGAGAATGTTTTGTGAGGGCTGGAGAAACAGAAAACCCATGTAGTGTGTTCCCTGTCCTTTCATTTCTTGTGGGATCCCCTAGGAGAATGACAAGGTGGCTTTATGGTGTTCCTCTACAGAAGGTACTGCACAAACAGCAGAAGTAGCAACCTGAGAAGACAGCATTTTTTGTGACTGAGGTTTGTAAATCAGGGTTACAGCGCTGTCATTCCACAAAAGCTACTTCTGCAAAGCCACTTAAGGAAATGGTAATGTGCATTCTTCATCTCAGACAGGGTGAGGCCAAACACCGTTGGGAATTTGTAATCAGATGCGCCGTTTCACATGGAAATCGCTGGTTCTCGGTTGTGACAAGGAGCTGTCAGCAGCTGCTGCCTGGGGAAATCAGTGCAGTGATCTTAGTCCAGTTCATTACATCCCAAATCCTCCTGGCCCTTGTTTCTACTCAAAGCAAGTTTCCCAGGTTTTGTAGTGATGTCTGTCTCATGCTGGATGTGGTCGTGTTTGGATGTGTTACTGCACTGCTCACAGCAGAGTCTGAAGATTCCTGCTCTCATAAGCCCACTCTGTGTTTAGCCTGTTAACTGCTTGTTTACAGGGACCCTGAGGTTAACTCATTCAGCTAACACAGGAAATGTAAGTGACTGTCACAGTGAGTTCATCTGACCTCAGGTCACTTTAGTTGTGGGTAAGAGTTGTGACACCGGGCTGTGATGTGGTTTAACCCATTTGGGACTAGCTCTCTTGAGCATCTCCGTGGAAGGAGACACGTTCTTGGCTTAAAGCACTCTGGAAGATCCCAAAGAGCAAGTGAGCATAGGACTGCATAGGCACGAGTGGCACAGAGCTGCAGTGGATGGGCCAGGGGCCAGGCACGCTGGTAGGACATTGTACAGGACTATGAAATACTGCTGGGTGTCATATTTTGAAATGAAGGGCTAACAACTCGATCCTATACCTAAGTAATGTTTTAACTTTGAGAACTAACACTTTTTCTGCTTTAAAGTGGCTTCACCAATCATTTCAGTATTTAATATCCTATAAAACTTGCGGTACTAATGTGCCTTTGCCCTCGGCCCTACTTGACTGAGTCAGGTACTGTTAATGCTGATGCCAGGTTAAGACAAAGTACATTTTTTTTCCAGATACTTAACGTGGAGCCACTGTGCTTTGCACACAGAGCTCTCTGGGGCGTCTAAGGGGGCGACACTTGAGAATTTGCTTCTGTCAGTGCCTACATACCTGTTCACAACTTTGCAAGCTATTGCAAGAACTCAGTGGGAGTATTCCAGCTCCTGAACCCATCCAGATTTTTTTTCTTCTAGAAGTGACCACAGAAATTACAGGTTTATGCCTCCTTTCTAGAAAATGTGTTTCTGGTAGTGAAACTGATGTTTCGCTGCTGTTTCTGGTGCTGCTACTGAAGTATTTTGTACATATGTGGCTATAAGGGGATCACCATTGAGGATTTTGTAACTAGAGTAAGATGTGCATCTAACTCTAAAAGCAGCAGTTATATTATTATCATTAGGCTGTTATAATGCCTAATTAACATGCAAATTAGATGTCAAGAAACCATGACTATGACAGTACTGTAATGTTTTAACAAGGTCTTCACAAAAGAATATGAAATCTTTTCAAGGAGTAGGGTGTAGATCATTGAAGTGGTAGTGTGGGAGAATACTTTCTCATAGGACTGGGTTTTTCTAGTGAGTCAAAGTGAAATTTGTAGATATCACAACTTTTCAGACTTAAGAAAAGCTAAAGTAAGGTATTCTTTTTTTACACACACTTTCAGCAGGGTCTAGTCAGACTGGTGGATCGTGTAGTGTGGCAACAGATGGGTTTTTAACTTGTATAAATATGCAGGGTGGTGTGTGCTCATAATGCAAACTTCTTACATATGCTGAGCTGAAGATTTATTGCAAGGAAAAGACCCATGCCTGCTAGCCAGCCTGTGTCCACAGCTGAAACGTTACAGAGAGTCTGTGCAGGAAATTTCACGTGTTGAGTACCTGTAACACTCCGCTTTGTGTTCTGTCCAATTTTAGTGTGCCCTCTGGATTTGAAGGTATAAAAGAACAGGAGATCTGCAACAAGATAATGACCAAAATGCTGGAAAATTACAATACCTTGTTTGAATTGGAAGGTTTGAAGAAGGATGAAGAAAAACCTGTATGTGAAGAGCTAGCAAGAATTATTTTGGTGAAAGTGAGTATCTCTAGTATTTCATTTTCCTGGAGCAAATCAATAATGCAGGCTTCAATTCAGAAACCTTTTAGGTAAGCGTGAGTCAGGCACTGTTGTAAAAATGTTCTATGTTATTGATTGGTACATGGTTTACAGATCGATTCTGCTGATAGGCTAATTGTCACTACTAGTCTGGAAGTTGATTCTGTTAAACATCTTTATTGGCTATTCACTGTTATCTATATAGGAAATGTATTCACTAAAATGTAAATGTTTTTAAATGAGGAGACAGAATAATTCTAGGAAGTATTTAAGCTTTCTGACATGGTGATCATTTATGGTGTACGTAAGTGATGGTGAACTTTCATACTTTTTGGCAATATGAGGTCTCTATCCTTTGCCACTATGAAGTCTGCCCGGCTCAAACACATACCTGAAGAATAATAATATAATAATACTATTTGAAAAAGTACATTGGCGCTGTTAAAGAAAAGCGATACAATTGAAGTATTATAACATTGGTGGGATGAGGGCAGGTGTGTAACATCAGAGGATTCTAAAGTTCAGAAAAAGTTGACAGAAATAAGTAGGGCAACCAAAAGTGCCTTGTTCTGGCTTGTGCCATCTCTACTACAGGAAGCAATCTCAAGTCTGTGCAGGAAATTGTCATGAGGATGGCTTACAGTCACTTCATATCTTTTTCTGTGTTAGCTGTGCAGATAGTTACCCCCTTCCAAGGTGCAAGCTCTTGAGTTGAGAGCGTTGAACTGCGTGCCTTGCCTTGGGAGGGTTTTACAAGCACCCACTGATAAAATCACCATGGCCTTCACTGGCTGGAATGTAAGTTGTCAGAAAATAAGCTATAAAAATATAGTGCCTTTGACCTTGACGAAACAAGAAGTTGGTGTGAGCCCAAGTTCTGCCAGTCAAGTGAAATCAGCTGAAAACGTCTCTGCTTTTGCGGTGTATCACAGGAGAGTCTCTTGAATCTGAACCGCAGGGCAATCTGTGCACGTTGGGCCTGGCTGCCTTTAGCAGAGTTGGTTGTTTTCCTGTGTGGTGAATCAGTGAGGAAGACTTTAGCTATTTAGTCTTTTAGCTGTTACTGACATTCATCTAAAAGGCTTTTGTGGAAGGATGACTTGCAGTGTCCTCCCAAACAGATGTTACTGAAGTCACAGTAACTTCTGAGTAACAGAAATGATCTACCTGGCAGTTGAGAATGGTGTTCAGCAGCTGACAGTCACTACAGTAACAAAGCAGGTTAAGAATGACATAACTGTAAAAAGACGTGGTGCTATAAAGAGCCCAGAAGAGAGGTTTCAGATGTCTCCATCTTCTCCAAGCCCCAGCCAGTTGAAAAAGCCAAGATACTCTTTCATTTCTAAGGACTTACTAGTAATTGGAAATGGGCAAAGGTGGAGACCTGGGAGGCTTCCCACAGCAGTTCAGAGATCTGAACTATCAAAGTACGTGGTGACAACCAGAATTACTCCAACAAAACAGCCTGAGAGATAGTTACTCAAGTGAGATGAAAAATACTGCCTATCTCTTTGCGTCAGGAGACAGATGACTGCCTGAGAGTAAAGAGCCGTGCCTAAACACAAGGGCTCGCATTGTGTTTGTGTCTTTGGATCTTGGTGAGAGCTTCCAAATTCTGCTGGCAGTCAGCTGCAAAAAACTGACCTTGTTCCTTGTCCATCAAATTTAGGTGGGAAGTTTTCTAGCTTGAGCAAGACAAATACGCAGATACAAGAAATACAAGCATTTAATTTCGTGTAGCAAAGCTACATGTAAGAAGTGCTACTTGATATTTGTCAGGTGGCCCTTTGGAAGGATGCTTTATACCATTCCCAAAGGTTACTTTTCTTGTATCCTTGCAGATACCTCCTATCCTAGCCAGTTTGTATTATATATTAGAGGTGGTGCACTTGAGGAGAAAACCAAGTGGTAATAAATGAGATTCAGTAGAGAAAAGTGATTGCCCGTTTGCTAATGTGTGCTCTGTTGTATACAGTGGGAGCTGGCTGATCCATGTCATACAAGAACAAATGCCTTGGGGAATTATTTGGCATGACTTGGGTCACAGTGTCCAGAAAATAGCAAGCCATTTGTAAGCAAAGTTACTGCTTCTTGAAAAGCCATTGATTAGTTCATATCTACAGGTAGCTGGAGAGAGATTTGCCAAGCAGTCCTGTTGGAAGGAGTGAAACATGTAGGATGCTCAGGACAGGGCAACACTCTCATGAACTGAGGCTCAGTTGATTTTAAGGATGTTGTGTTCAACCATGGTGGATTGGGGGAGCAGACAGCAAGGAAAGGGAAGAAAATAAGGACCTGCCCTTTACCAAACTCAGCTGCATTTATCTAAATGGCTTTTTTAGCTTTAACGTTGTAAGCAGCAAGAGCATGAGGAGAGGAGGTTTAGACAACCTTGCTCCCTTCCTTCTGTGGCATTTCTGTCATCCTCTCTCCCACATCACTCACTGTATTGCCAGTGTTTCACCCCGAGTCAGTAAACTGCTGACTTTCTTGTAATTGTCTTCTTCCTTTTCACTTGTTCATGGTTAAAATTTTCTCCTGAATTCCCACAGCCTTACACATTCTCCTGGGTGTGGAGTTTGAGGCTAGAACTTGGCTTTTGAATCACTTTTCCTAGACAAGCATTACTGTGTTTTCTTCTGTTGGAACACTTGTCTTACTCAAAGGTAAGGTTCCCAAAATGGGGGTGCAGGTACTTACAGTAAGAAATCAGTTTTTTTATTGTATTAAGAGATTCTCATGACAGTCAAAGCCATCGGTGTTTGATCCAGGTGTTTCTTGATTAAGAGTTTGGAAAGAACACCTATACATGTAAAACTTCTTATACAAGGAGAAGAATGCCACCAATTTGCAGGAGGACTAACTTTAATCAAAATTTGAAACGCAATGACAGTGGTTTAAAAAAATACAAGGAAAGACATCAAAAAGTACATCGAACAATGCTGAACACTTCTCTCAGTGCTCTATTATGCCTTTCTATCTTACTGCATTACAAAATTAGCCCTTCTTTTTCTTATCTGTTTTTCATGGCTTCAGGCTCTTAGTTTGGTGCTGAAATCTCAACTGGAAAAACAGGAACCTATCATTAGTCAGTGTCTAAAAGTATTGCGAGAATATTATTTCTCCCTGCAGTCTTGGGTTGTTCTTGAGATGGCTTAGGTGCCTGTTGCTTCACATCATCCACTCATAATTACCTTTTTTGAAGTCAACCTGAACCCTAAATCATTAATTTTGAGCAGTACCCAGAAAAAGGGGAGTAGTGGTTCATGCCACCCCATCCCAGTATAGGAACGTACCTCCTTACATGCACTTGGTCATGTTTACCATCTTCCCAAACTTGCATGACTCCTGACACTGCATGCTCTGGATATCTGAAGATTTTCCCACACTTTGGTCATATAATCAGTGGATTTTTGTAAACAAGAAGTACTACTCTTTTAAAATGAAAACAAGGATATGTGGATCATTCAGATAAAATCATGAAAGCATCAAGCTTCTCCTTAAGCAGTATTGGGAAGGAAAAACAACTCGAGTGGAACAAGTTGCATCTTGTCTGCTATGTTGGTCATAGCTCGGGGAAATCCACAATGCTGCAGACTTCCAGGGGTAAGAGCATTTCAGTCAGGTACAGATTGCAGCAGCTTAGAGAAATTCTGTTTTAGGGAAGCCAGAAGTTAATACATTTTAGAGATGGGGAAAAGAAACATGGTTCTGTAGGGCTGTTAGTATTTGAGCTGCCATTCTTGCTGCATGTGTGCACTGAGGAGGCACAGGAACACCTTCACCCCGGTTACATTTCTGCTTTCAAAGATTACTCAGTCATTGGGAAAGACGAACTGTGCCAGGTAAAGGGATTTCTTAGCTGGCTTTCTCAGTGGATCATAATTCAGAAAGTAAGGGAGCTGGAAATCTCTGCAAGCCGCATTCCAGTCCCTGCTTTGTTCCCAGGGCCATAAAGCCTCCTGTTGCTCATTATTCAGGCATATGGTAGGATTACAGGCAGGATTACAGAAGGGTGGGGAGTTTTGATTTAGAAACCTCTATGTTTAAAAAAAAAATACATTTTTCACAAAACAGAAAATGTATCTTAGAGTAGTTTCAATTTCAGTGGGGAATTGAACTGTCAGGTTTCTGCTGCCGTGCCTGGAAGGGCTTCATTAGTTTCTCACCCCACCTAGTACAATGAGATCCATATGATCTTCCAGGCAGGTGGCCAGCAGGTGGAAGTATAACATGCACTTTCTTGTGCATATATATATTTGGAAATTCCTTCCCATGAAAGAATTAGAGGGTTTTATATTTTTTGTTTTAATTCCAAAATAAGTTGTGGTTTGTTGGTTTTCAGGTCTCATTTGCAGCCAGCTGTTATTACAATCCGTAAGACTTTTATCCAGGCTTCAGTTTAATTTCCTAAGCTAGTGAAGGTCTGGAATATTCTCAGTCAATAGGCTCTGCTAGTTAGAGAAATATGGGTGGAGAAGTGGGTTGAGTGTTCTGATCAGCTATTGGCTCTGTGTTCAGATTTTCAGGTTCATAAATAGCTTTTTCTTATTGGGCGGTTTTAGGTGTGAACAAATAATTATCTGGCAGTATATCTGCACTGCTGTGCATTTATCACATAAGTGTCAGGTTGTTATAATAAAGTGTTGTTTATGTTCTGCTTTGGAACAGAATTCGCAGTGTATGGGTATGGTCCTGATAGGTTTTTGTGGCACTGAACTGAGTGATAACTCACGTAAGGAAAGGTTGGTCAGTCTTAAGTTGCAGTGCTGCCAATTTTATCTTCTTCTTGAATAAATAGATTTACAAAACCTACAGTAACGACAAAAAATGATCATTTTGGACAAGGACCTTTCATTTCCATGGATGTTAAAGTGCCGTTCAAACTGCAGCTGCATATAGTCCCATGGTGTATAGATAGCCAGTGTTGTATAGTTATGACTGTAATGAAATGGGACCTTTGAATAACAGTGATTAGA